TGGGGTAGATTTCAGTTCCAAGCTTCAAGTTGTTGTAGTGACTCAAAAAGTGATCCACCAAATGGTCGAGCAAACTATTACAAGGTTAAAAGAAAAAACAAGTATATGTTAATATGAAGAATGTGTGTCGAACAAGCTCTGGTGACCTCCCAACGCTTTACTCTAGAACTCCCAGAGCAGTCAATTTGATAGCTTTTTGGTTTTGGAAGTGTAATTTCATTTTTGCCAATTTCTATATTATTATATTACGGCGGCACTGTGCGGCTGAATAGATAGCACTCTTGCTTCTCAGCAAAAAGGTCCTGGGTACGGATCTCGGTTGGAACAGGGTCTTTCTGAGTGGAGTTTGCATGTTCTCCATGTGTCTGCGAAGGTTTCCCCCCACCACTAACAAACAAGCACATGAGGCCAAATCCTCCAGCTCCTGTCGTGACCAAGCCGAGCATTAACATCTGGAGATGGGTTGCTGAACCCCGTTACTACGGCGACCACTGCTCCTGACCTAAGCCTTAGCAGCATCAGGATGGATCAAATGTGGAGGACAAATTTCTCTACGGGGACAATAAAGTGCACATTTAAATTTACATTGGTTTGCATTTAGCCTTGGAGTGGTCTTTGTCGTATTTAAAGTAGCCAGTAGCCAGTAACCAGTTTTAGCACTTGAGTGAGTTACTTTTAATAAATGCGGTGAGAAACTACACATTTTTAGGGAAATTTATCATAATTCTATTGGTTTAAATGAGAGTAGTCAAAATGACAGCTCGGAGTTGGATTAGTATAAGTATTGTGGAAGTCCTAGTATAAATGTATTCAACAAACGAATGGGCACCAACTGATGGGGTTTATACTGTACTTAACATATTAGCTTTTTATGTCTTGATTTGAGTGTGGAGTTTGTTATTTCTTTGTCATTTGTCGTCAAAAAGGCAAAAAAACAGAACCCCAACTGAAACATTTAGATGCTATTTTTCTAGAGAGGGAATGCTGATACAATCTTTCAGTTGGATGCATAACTAAACAGAACTGTCCTGATAATATGAAACTGAAGTGTAATTGCTGAACTAAACTTAAATATTCAGAGGTATTGGTTGATGCCATTTGCACCGTTTATTTTTGCCCCCTCGACCATGTCCAGTTGTTCATGATTTTTTTCATATTTGTGAGAATTCTCAATGTGATTTATCACCAAGCAGCAGAGATGTTCTTTGACATGGGGTAACCTTGGGGGCATGAAGGATTTATCACAAGCTGGACAATGATAAAACCATAATGACCAAGTCTGGGGGGGTGCAACCTTCCATTCGGTTCTCTACTTCTATAATCCACCTACACTAAATGAATGTGTAATCCTGCCTGATTTATGAGGCCCCTCCCAAAAAAAACCATTAAACCTTTTAGAGACTGAAAAAAACTTGGTTCACACCGGTTTTGTGGTGGACTTTTAAAAACAACCCAAAACATCATACCTGCTCATGCTTTTCTTCCATTGTTTCATCAGTCAGGAATGCTTTTGCCATTTCGCAAAGTCCTTTGATCATCTGAAAAAAAAAAGCCATCTTGGCACAAATACAATACATTGAGCCAGATTTACTTTAATCGCTGGAAAGTCCCCGCACCTCCAACAGTGCTCTGATTCTGTTTTATCCTTATTTGGTGTCAGTCTTGGAGCTGCTGTCTGGACAGTAGATATACAGGGGTCAGTGCGGGCCTCTCCAGGGCTCCACTCACACGGCTAAACATCTTAACCCAGCTTAAGCCCCGTCGGAACAGCTGAAAGTATAAAGCTCCCACACATCCACAAACATACCCTGTCGATACATGTGGCATGAATTAATCCATTCAATTAAACAAGTCCTTCCAACTTTTCTTTGTGATGCACTGGTGTTCATTCATCATTCACTTCATTCAGCTTTAGCTATTCATGTTTTTCTCAGGGTCATTGCAGTAAAAAAAAAAAAGACAACCTCTGAGAAAGTCATTGGTGAAAAGAACACATTCTTTTCCACGCTCTTATGACAGAACCTTGCAAAAGCCAAGGAAATTAAATTCGTCACAATTTTTGCTTTACATTTTGTTGTATACCTTTGTTAATTTTTGTCAGTAAAAAAAAAGAAAAAAGTAAGTTAGCAAAAAACTAATATATCGTCTAATTCCTTCAGATACATGTAAAGAGAAAAAGGTCAAGCCTTTATCTATAATAAGCTTGATAACTATGGCTCACAGGCTGTAGATATAACTGTTAGAAAATATTTGAAAGTGGACTGTAAGCCTTAGTCCTCAACATTATGACATTTTAACAAAGGTTTAGCAATTAGATTCTTAATTTTTCAAAGTAGAAATTCTCTCTCAACAAGATATATCAATCGAAAATGTGTTATATTTGAAACTCAAAGTGCTTAACAACGGAATAAAGTCATAATATTAAAAATAATCAACATATTAGGAACTCAAATATACAGTATATACAGTATACAAGAAGTTGTTATGGAAATCTTTAACCTTGCCAAAGTTGTTATTTTTTATACATTGGGAACTCACATGTGTTTGAATTATGTGTGGAGAGATCAATCTTAATTTGTCTTACTGTCAACCCAAAATCAAACCCCTCATATTAACTCTGGTGATGGGATCATGCGGAGGTGCTGGTGTCTCATATCAGAAATAAAATGTGTCATTTGCGGCTGCTGTCCGCTCGAGAGCCCTCTTCAATCCATGGCCCTAAATCCCACTTCGCCACATCCAGTCCCCTCCCAGCTCTTTTCATACTGATTGCACCTACACTCCTTCCCACTCCCTTTTAATATTGGATTTGCTTGATTTCCTTTTCCTGCTGGCTTTATCACTCCGTTACTGACTCCTTTTGATCAATACACCCTTCCCTCTATCTTTCCCCAGCTGTCTGTCTCTGATGGCTTCTTTCAACAGCCTCTGGTATAAGTGAATGGGAGAGAAGGTCCATGGAGGAGCATTATCAACCTGGTGTCTGTCTCCGGGGCAAGCAGCTGTGATGGGGCCTAATGCACTATTGATCCCTGTCACCCTGGCTGCGATATACCTGCTGTTGTGCACACGGACTCTCTCATCAGCACATCCCTCACAGGACAGGAGCGCCCGTTCTGAGCCCCAGATGAAGCCATACTGTATGTGGATAGTATTGTTAGAAGGAGTTGGATGCCAAATACACTTAAGAAAGGATAGAGATGACGATTCACTATAAATGTGCACAAATATATTGTGCTTTGGTAATAAAATCAATGATCGTCTCTTTATTGACCTTTGACAAATTCATAAAATTAATCAGCGGACTTCTGTGTTAGAATTTGCAGTGTTGACTTGTACCTGCTTGTAAGGCACATGAACGGCAATGGTCTCGAGGTTTTGTTCAATCTAGTTGCATATCTGAACCTTTCCTTGCAGATTAACAAATGCATTGTTCATGAAAGTCTCACCCTGATACATTTATGTGCAACCTTTGACTTTTTAAACATATAAATATGAATATTGTAATTTCGTTGCAACTCATATTATTGACGTTTTCTCGTGATGTATGTTTTTGTGAATGATTAAAGTAATCTACTCTCTTTATGATATTTCACAGATAAAGAAAAGAACAAGAAAAGCATATGCACAACTAAAATATATCTGGGCATGACCAGTATTGTTAGAAGAATGGCATCTACAGTTGGAGAATGAAAATGTATCACACATACATGAATCACTCTCAAAACTTGTGGATAAATGGTGTGGATAATGATTCAAAATAAATTATGTTTCCAAGCTAAAACTGAAATGAGCATAAAAGGTTTTTTCCCGGAACATACAGTAAAGTAACTGTATCTTCATAGTTGCAGAATGCATCAAATACTAATTCTGATGCAAATACAGTATGAACCTCTCCTTCTTGCTCACACTGTGCACTTTCATGATTTAAAATCTTGAGAATGATTTCTTGCAACATATGTCCCCAACACATGGTCAGCATTTATGTCATTGCAGACTTGGCACTATGTTTTACCGGGTTTCTAAATGAAATTTCATCCTCGGATGTAGTATTTTCTTCATTCAATCAAGAGGCATATTTCTGGATATTGTATTACAGTTTCAGGAACTGTCAACCAAGCTTTTTTTTCCAGTTCCTGAAATCAATACTATAAAAACTCCAAGTCATATTGTTTGTTTCCACTATCAGCTTTTTAACGTAGCTGCTATGTTTCTTAGCTGTGAATGCTTCAAGCAAAAAACAAAATGTTACCGCTTTAATAATGTGAGTGGGAAAGCTTGTGGTTGAACTCAGATGGACAAAATTACATTTAAACACCACAAAACTGAATTTTTCAATGAAGTATCTATCTATCTAACTGTTTTGTATCTTTGAGTTGCTATTTGTCTGAATTGTGCTTCATAAATGTAGAGTTTATATAGTTGGGAAAGTATATTTTACTGGACAGAGGCCAGTAAAACATCCACAATTTTTTGTAATTTCCATCCGAAGTCCCGCAGTCACACACTCCTTATTGTTGTACAGGTGAGAGAAACCTGAAGCACAAGCCCTAACATCTGCCCCACTGTGTCGCCAACTTGCCTCACTTTAGTTACAATGTATATGTGACATACAATCTTTCCTTGCCTACCTATAGCTCAAAATGCGTGACTAATCTGGATTCAGTCTGCATCATAGGATCATACTAGTGTCTTATTCATGCATTGAATCTTTGATACCATATTCATGTATCTGGTCCCAAAAGGACAATGTCTATGAATCCTGCAGAAGACTTTCTATAATAAAAGAGCCATTATTCCCCACAGTGTTAGGTAATCCAGGAGCCTCGGGTGCATGTCCTGTTGAGATGTATTGCCCGAAGAATATGGGGAATCTAATAAAATGTGACATGCGTATGAGAAATGGCTCTGTGTTGTGCTGTCCACGGCAGCAGTGGGAGGAATAATGCATTGTCTTGTATAGTGGGACATGTCACACGGGATGAATATATATAAGAGCAATGACAGGGGTCGAAGGTACTGTTCTCGTTCAGAAACATCCACCCACACTGCAAGCCATGCACCGAGGGATGATGGCAGGAGCTATTGAGGCATTTCAATCCAAAGCACATGTTGAAACACTTTATAAATATCAAAGCTGGAACAGGGCCTTTCTGAGTGGAGTTTGCGTATTCTCCCCGTGTCTGCATAGGTTTCCTCTGGGTGCCTCCTACCACTATGCACAATAGGTAAATCCTGCAGCTCCGTTAGTCCTGACGAAGCCAACCATCTAGGGATGGGTTCCCGGGCGCTGTAATATGGCGACCACTGCTCCCGACAGAGGCTAGTGGCATTTGCAGGATGGTTCAAATGCAGGGGACAAAGTTTTGTCTTATTCTGAAAGCACCCACTTGCTCAAAGAGTTACTTACTCAGTTATTAATTTCATTATTCGTTCCCAAATTCTTAAGGACCGTGCCCCCCAAATAAATTTAAAGACCCCTACAAGAATTGTTTTTATACAAACAAAAATGTAAAGTTTTTTATGTAAACTCAAACTACATGAATGCATGTGTGTAAAAAGTGGTGTTTATTGGCAGTTTTAAACAAACCAGATATAGCTTGTCAAATGTCATAAATCCTCCAAAATATTCCTGGAGATATTGCTGCCTGGAGATATTGCTGAAGGAAAGAAGGCCTTCATTCAAAAGTGTGCCCCGTGCCATACTGTTGAAGAGGGGTGGGGGGGGGGGGGGGGTGGCTTCGGTGGATGGCGGGGGCGCGGGGGGGGGGGGGGGGGGGGGGGGGTACGGGGGGGGATGGGGGGGTGGGGGGATGAGGGCGGGGGTGGCGGGGGGGCGGGGCGGGCATGGGGGGGGAGGGGGGGGGAGGTGGGTGGGAGGGGAGGGGGGGGGACGCGTGGGGGGATGAGGGGGGGACGAGCTGGGGCCTGCGGGGAGGGGGCCGGGGAGAATGGGGTGGGGGAGAAGGGGTGGAGGGGGGAGAGGGGAGGGGCGGATCGGGCGGGGGGGGGGACGGGGGGGGGGGGAAGGACGGGGATTCGTAGTGCGGGAGCGTAGGGGGGGCGGGGGCGGTGGTAGCAGAGGTGAGGTGGGGGGGGCGGGGCAGGGAGCGGGGGGGGGGTGGGAAGCAACTGTTGGGGGAAAAGAAGGGCGCGGGGGGGATTGTGGGGGTATGGGGGGGGAGGTCGGGGGCGAGGGGGGGGGGACGGGGGGGGGGGGGAGGGAGGGTGGGAAGGCGCGGAGTTCGGGCGGGGGGGTGTGTGGGGGGGGGGGGGGGTATGAGGGGGGAGGTGGGAGGGTGGGGGGGGCCAGGGCAGGGGGGGAGTTTCGGGAGAGAGGTGGGGGGGGCAGGGAGGGGGGGCCCCGCAATGGCCGGTGTGTGGGGTGGGGGAGGGGAGGGGGGGGGAGGGTGGGGGGGCGGGCGGGGTCCGGGGGGGGGGGGTGAGGGGCTGGGGTGGTAGGCGGCAGGGGTGCCGCGTCGAGGGGATAGGTGCGGGGGGGGGGGTGCGGAGCAGGGGGGTGAGGGGGCGAGGGGGAGGGGCCGGGGCGGATGGGGATGAGGTGGGGGGGGGGCGGTGCCAGGGGGGAGACTGGGCACGGAAGGCGGATGGGATGCGGTCCGGGGGGGGAGGGTCGGACGGGGAGGTGGGGTGGGGGAAGGGTAAAGGGGGGCGGTTGGGATGGGGGGGGGCGAGAGGGGAGGGGGGTGACTGCGCGACGGGGTGGGGGGGGTCGAGAAGGTAGGCGAGGGGGGGAGGGGGGGGGGTCGGGGGGAGGGGATGGGGACAACGTGGGGAAGGGACGGTGGGGGGGGGGAGGGGGAGGGTGGGGGGGGGGGGGGGGACCCAAATCACGGTAGGGGGAGGGATAGGGGCGGAGGGAGTAGAGTGGGGGGAGGGGTGAGATGCGAGGGGGGGAGTGTCGGCGGGGGGAAGGGGGTGGGGGGGAGGGTCGGAGGGGGCGGGGTGAGCAGGAAAGGAGGGGGGGGGGGGGGGGTGGTGGGTTTAGGGGGACCGCGGGGGGGGGGGTCGAGGGGGGGCAATGAGGGGGCGGGGGGGGGAGGGTCTGGGGGGGGGAGGCGTGGTGTGGGGTGGCAAAAGTGGGAGCTGAGGGGTGCGGGATGGGGAGCGGGGGGGAGGGGGGGGGGGGGGATGGGGGGGTGAGGGAGGGGGGGGCGGGTGGGAAGGGGGGGGGGGGGTGAGCTGGTAATGTGAGGGGCGGGTTTTGGGGGTGGTGCGGGCGTGGAGGGGGGGTGTGTGGGCGGTGGAGGGGGTGGGGGAGTGGGGTGGTAAGGGGGGAGTTTTGGGGTGTTCGTGGTGGGGGATCTGCTGTTTCGTTTCGGTGGTACTTAGATGTTGTAGTTTGTTTTGGTATTTTTGTTTTTTTTTCCTTCAACCACACACATACCCCACCACCTACCAAGGTGGGGGGAGGGATGAGAGGGGGGAGGACAGGGGGGTGATGGCAAAACAGGGGTGTAGCCAGTGGGAGCGTGGGAGAGGGCGCGGGGGGGAGGAGGCGGGGGGGGAGGAAGGGGAGGAGGTGGGGGGGGTGGGGGGGGGGGGGGTGGGGGGTGCGGGGGGGGGTGGGGAGGTTATGAAGGCACGGTGGGGGGGGGGGGGAGGGAGAGGGGGGGGGGTGGAGAGAGGGGTGGTAAGAGAAGTGGGGAGGAGGGGGGGAGGGGGGGAAGGGGGGGGGAGTGGGCGGCGTAAGGGTGAGGGGTGTGGGGGTAGGCGGGGAGGGGGACGGAGCCGTGGGGGGGGTTGGGTCGGTGGTCGGTCAGGCGGGGGGGGGGAGGCAGGGGGGGCGGGGGGACGAGAGGGGGGGGAGCTGGGGGGAGAGGGGCAGGAGGGGGGGGGGGGGGGGATGGGGTGATGGAGATAGGGGCAGGGGGGGGGGGGGCGGGGGAGGGGAGGGGAGGGGAGGAGGGGGGAGGGCCGGGAGCGCGGGTGGGGGGGGGGGGAAGTGGGGGGGGGGGGGGTTGGGGGAGGGGGGGGGGGGGGTCTAAGGGGGGGGGGGGGGGGGGCCAGGGGTGGGAGGTGGATGGGGGGGCGGGCGGGGGAGGGCGAGGGAGGGGGGGAACGGATGGGGCTGGGGGTGGGGGGGGGGGATTGGGGGCGGGGGGGCGGGGTGGAGGGGGAGGTCGAAGGGGGGGGGGAGGGGGGGCGGGGGGGCTGGTGAGCGGGAGGGCGAAGGGACAGCCCGGGGGGCGAGGGAGGGCTAGGGCGGGGGGGGGGGGAGGGCTAAAGTCGGGGGGGCCGGGGCCTGGGGGGGAGGGGGGGGAGGGGGGAAGTTGGGAGGCATAGGTGGGGGGGAGGGTCGGGGGGGGGCGTGGGAGGGGGTGGGGGAGAGGGGAGAGACCGGGGGGGAGGGTGGAAGCAGGGGGGAAGGCGCGAGGTGTGCGGTGGAGGCGCCTGGGGGGGGGGGGTGGTTAGAGGGGCCGGGGAGGGGGGGGGGGGGGGGAGGGGAGGGAGGGGGGGAGGGAACCCATCGAGGTCGGGGAGGTGGGTTGGAGAGGCGGCGGGGGTGCGATGAGGGGGGCGGGGTCGCGGAGGAGGGAAGGGGGGGAGGGGGGGCGCAGCGGGGGGGGAGGGGTGGGGATGGAGCGGGCGGGGGGGTGGGCAGCGGGGGGGCGGGGGGGACGAGCTGCGTGGGGCCGGGGGGGGGGTAGGGGGGAGGGTGAGGGGGGGTGGTCGGGTGCGGAGGAGGCTGGGGGGTGGGTGGAGGGGGGGGGAGGTAGTGGGTGGGTGGGGGGGCGCGGGGGGGACATGCCCGGGCCGGGGTGCCGTGCGGGGGGGAGAGAGTGGGGGTGTTGGGATGTGTGGTGGGAGGGAGCGGCGGTTGGGGGGGGGGGGGATGGGGGGCGCCGGAGGGCGGGGTGGATTGGGGGTGGCAGGGGTAGGGGGTGGGGAGGATGGGGCTAGCGCAGCGTGGCGAGGGGTGGCGAGGTGGTTCGTTGTGCTTGGGTAGCGATGGGGTTGGTTTCGGGCAGGATGGGGTGAAACCAGGGGGGGCCGGGGGGAGGAGGGGGGGGGGGGGAGTGGAGGGGAAGGGTCGGGGGGAGGTGAGGTAGCTGGGGGGCGGGGGCAGGGGATACCCCAGGGAGGGGCCGGGGAGGGAGAGTGGTCGGGGGTGGGGGGGGATCGTGAACGGGTGGGGAGCGGGTGGGGGTGAAGGGGGGTGGGGGGGTTAGGGCAGGGGGGGGGGGAGGGGGAGGGGAGGGCGGATGGTGGGCGGTGGGGGTGGGAGGTGCGGGTGGGGGGGGGGGGGCGGGGGGGGGGGGGACTGGGTCGGAGGGGGGGCCTACGGGGACGTGGGGGGTGCAGGGAGGGGAGGCGCCTGGGCGCTACGGGTAGGGACGAGGGGAGGGAGGGGGGGGGAAATCAGGGTGCGTGAGGCTGCGTGGGGGGGGGGTGGGCTGGGTCGGGGGGGATTAGGAGGCAGGGGGGGGGGGGGGGGGGTGAGGGGGGGTAAGATGGGGTGGGCGGAGGCAGGTCTAGTGGGGGGAGGGGGGATAATTGTTGGAGAGTGTGCAGAGTGGGGGTGGGAATGGGTCGGGGGAAGTTAGGCGAGGACTGGGGGTAAGGGGCCGAAGTCGTGGCGGGGGGGGGGGTAGGGCAGAGAGGGCCCGAGGGGTGGGGGGAGGGGGAGGGTTCGTAGGGGCCCGGGGGGGGTGGTCGGGGGGAGGGAGGGGCTGGTTGGGGGGGGTGGGAGGGGCTGGGGTGCGGGGTGGGGGCGGCGGTGACTGGCCGGCTGGGCCGTAAGGGAGTGCTGGGGGGGGGAAGTGGGGGGTGCGGGGACACGGTAGGGGTGGATCACTGGGGTGGGTGCGTGGGGGGCGAGGGGGGGGGTGGTGTGGGATGCGGGGCTGGGGGTGTGGGGAGGGTGGGAGCGTGGGGGGAGTGGAGGTAGCGAGGGAGTGGAGGGGGGTAAGGGGTCGGGAGGGGCAGCTCGGGTTGGGCGGAGGAGGGTAGGCGAACGTAACCAGAGGGGAAGGGGCGGGGGGGAGGTGTGGCGGGGGCGACGGGGGGGGGGGGGGGGTGGAGGGGGCGGGGGGTAGGTGGACCCGGGAGGGGGGTCAGCGGCTACGTGCGGGTGGAGTGGGGGGGTGATGCGGGGGGAGAGGCGAGGAAGGGGGGGGGGGACCTTTGGTGGGCGGGGGGGGGGGCGGCATGCCGTGGAGGGGGAGGGGCAGGGGACGGGGGAGGTGCGGGGGATGGGGGGTGGGGAGGGGGCGGTCGGCCGTGGGGGGTGGGGGGGTCAAAGAGGGCGGTGGTATGGGGGAGGCTGTGGCGGGGAGTACGGGGAGCGGGGGATGGGCGGGGGGGGGCGAGGGGGCCGGGGGTGGGAGGGGGGGGGGCGGGGTGGGGGGGGATCGGGTGGAGCGATGAGGGAGGAGTTGGGAGGGGGGGGGGGGGGGGGGGGGGAGGGGCGGCCAGGGAGGGGGGCGGGGGAGGGGGCGGGGTAGTGGCAGGAGGGGGAGTGGGTGAAGAGGGGTGGGGGTGGAGTGGGGGGGAGCAGGGGCCCGCGTGGCCGGGACAAGGAGGGGGGGCGGCTGGTGCGTGGGGGGTGGAGTCGTGAGTACGGAGGGAGGGGGGGGGGGGTTTCTGTGGGTGGTGTGGGTTGGCGAGGGTCGTGGGTGGCTGTGTGAGGTCGTGGCGAGCAGGAAAGGTGGGGTTGCGGGGGTGGGGGGGTAGCATGCCGGGGGATGTGGTAGGTGTTTTTGGTCTGGGTGTTGCTGGTTTATTTGTGTGTTGCTTCGGCTAACCCCCTTGTTGGCTGTTTGTTGTTGTGGTTGTTTGCTTGTTGTTCTCCCGTGGTGTTTGTTTGTGGAGTGGTTGTTTCCCCCCAACCCCCCCCAACCCCCCCACACCAACAACCCCAACCCACCCACCACATCATTTTTTTGTTGGTGGTGGGGTCTGGGTGGCTGATTCTGGCGGTGTGATGGGGGATGGTTGGTGCGACCTTGGGGTGGCGGCATGGGGGGGGCGTGGTTGGGAGGGCTGTAGGGGGGTGGGGTCGGGCGCGGTGGGGGGGGGCAGGCTTCCAAGTTGGTGGGCGGGGCGGGGGGACGGGGGGGGGGGGTGGGGCGGCCCGGGCGCGGGGGAACAGGGGGGGTGCGGACAGGGGTGGTTTGGAGGGGGGACGGGAGCAGGGGGGGCGGAGGGGGAGAGGCGGGGGGGCGGCGGTTGGGAAGGGCGCGGGAGGGCGGCGCGATGGGGGGCGCTGGTGCGGGCTGTGAGTGCTAGTGTAGTGGGGGGGGTGAGGGAAGGATAGGGTCGCTCGGGGGGTCGTAGTCGGGTGGATGTCCTCGGGAAGGGTGTACGGGTCTTTGAGAGGTGGTCGGAGGGGGGGTCGTTGGGCGGGCAGGAGCAGGGTGGGGGGGGGGGGGGGGTGGAGGGGCGCGAGGAGTGGGGGATGTCGGGGTGGCGGGTCTAGCGGGGGAGGGGGGGGGAGGTGGTGCGCGGGGGGGCGAGGGGGGGTGGGGAGGAGTTCGGTATCAAGCACGAAGGGCGGGGGGTGGGAGGGTAGGCCGGGGGGGGAGGCGGGGGCACGGCGGTGAGAGGGGGTGCCAACGGCGAGGGTGGGGGGATGGTGGGGGGGAGGGGGGGGGGGGGAGGGGTTCTGGGGCCGAGGCCGGGGGGCGGGGAGGTGGCGTGGCGAACTGTCGGCGGGAAGCGGCGGGGGGGGGGAAGGAGGCGTAGGGAGACGATGTGGGGGTGAGGGAGGGGTGTGGCTGGGGCGGTGGGTAGGAGGGGCTAGAGATACCCGAGGGGTTGTGCCGTAGGAGGAGGGGGGGGCGGGGCGGGAGTGCGCGGTTGCGTCGGGGGTGGTCAGGGATGGTAAGGGGGGGCGAGGGAGGGGGGGGCGGAGCAGAATGGATGGGGGTGGGCGGTGGGGGTGAGTGTAGGGGCGGGGAGGGCGGAAGGCGAAAAGAGGGGAAGCGGGGGGGAGGGGGTGAGTGTTGAGAGAGGTGGGCGGCGGCTGGGGGAGGGGTGGGGCAGCGAGGTTGGGGGTATTGGGGGGGGGGGGGGGGGGGGGGGGGCGGGGGGGAGAAGGAGGGGTGGGGGTGGAGGCGGAGGCGACGGGGGGGGAGTGGGGCAGGGGGGCTGGTTGGAGGGGACGCGGCGGGGGGGGGGTGTTGTGGGGGGTCGACGGGGGGGGGGATGGGTGGCAGGCAATGGGGGGGTGCCGCGGGGGGGGAGGCAGCGGCGGAGGCGGGGGGGGGTGGGGGGAATAGGAGACGGGCCGGGGGGGGGGGGGGGGGGGGTGGGGGGGGGGGGGGGGTGGGGAGGAGGGTGAGGAGCGTGGATGGGAGCATGGGGGGCTAGGAGGGGGGGGTAGGTAGACGGGGGGGGCGGGGGGGGCTAGGGGGGAGAGAGCATAGGGGGGATCGGGGGGGACCAAGGTAGAGGGGTGGCGGCGGGGGGGGCCGGGGGGGGGGCCGTGACGTGGGGCAGCGGGAGAGAGGGGACACGGAGAGTTGAGGGGAGTCCAGGGGTGGGCAGATGGCGGTGGCGGTGGGGGGGGGGTAATTGGGGGGGTGGGCGGGGTTGGAAAGAGGGTGAGAAGGGGGGGCGGATAACGAGGACTGAGTGGGGGGAGGGGAGGGAGGGGACCCAGATGGGGGGGGGGGGGCGGTGGGGGAGGGGGGCGCTGATCAGAGACAGGTGGGGGGAGGGGCGTATTGGGAAGAGCGAGCGCGAGGGCGGAAGGGGGGGTGGTGGGTTGGCGGGGGGGAGGGGGGAGCGGTGAGGGGGGGGGTTGGGCGGGGGGGGGCCGGGGGGAGAGGGGGGGAAGAGCCGGTTAGTGTGGGGGGGTGGTAGGGAAAGGGGGGGGGGTGTAGGGGGCCGGGTGGGAGGTATCCGATGGGGGGGGAACGGCAGGGGGTGGGGAAGGGGTGGGGTACTGGCGGGAGGGGGACTGGGTAGGGGGACGCGGGACCGGAGGGGTATGGGGAGGTATTCACAGTGGGCGGGAGGGGCGGGTGGGGGGGGGGTGAGGAGGGTGGATGAGGCGCCGTGGGGGCGGGGGGGGGGGGGGGGGTGGAGGTAGGGGGGGGGGGGGGGGGGGGGGTCGGGTGGGACACAAGAGGTGGGGGCGGGGAGACGGAGGGGGGGGGGGCTGCGTGGGGGGGGGGGAGGGGGAACGGAGGGGATGGGCGGCGGAGGGGGTGGGTGTAGGGGCGGGGGGATGTTCGGGGGCAGGCAAGGTGGGGTACAGAGTGGGTGGGGGGGGCCGGGCTGCGAGATGTTCGGGGGGGTGGGCGGGGGCGGGGGGGGGGGAGCTGGAAGGGCGAACGGGGGGGGTAGGCAGGGGTGAGGAACGGATGGCGGTTATCGGGGGGTAGGGGGGGCTCCGGCGGGGCCGCGGGCCGGGGGGGTCGGCAGTAGCGGGTGGGGTGGGGCGTGGTGGTGGCGTGGCGAGGGAAAAGGCGGGGGTTGGGGAGGAGGTGGGTGCACGCGGGGGGGGTGGGGGGGCCGGGGGGGTTGCACGGGAGGCAAGGGTGGGGGGGGGGCAGGTTTGCGAGGGTGGGTACGGGGGGAGGCGGGTGGGGGGGGGATACGATGGTTGGCGCTGGTGGTGTTTGGATGGTGGTGATGGGAGTGGTTGGGGCGGGGTGTTGTGGTCCCGGAGGTGTCGGTTAGTGGCCATGGGTGGCTGCCTGTTTGTTGGGCTGAAGTCCGGTCTGTGGTGGCCGTGGCGTGGGCGTTGGGAGGGGTTGGTTGGGGGGCGGTGTGGGGATCGGCGGTAGGTCCGTTAGCCGGGGATTGGTGGCGTTGGGGGGGGCTAGGCGTGTTGTGGTGGTAGGTTTACAGGGTGCGGGGGTGAGCGGCCGGGAGTAGGCGCCGCGGACGAGGGCCGCGGGTGGGGAGGTGGCGTGCGGGGACGTGGGGCAGGGCCGTGGAGGGGCGGGGGTGGTGGGGTGGTGTGGGTGGCGGGGGGGTGGTGGGTGGAGTCGGGGGGGCGGCCGTGGTGTGGGGGGTGGGGAGGGTGCGTGGGCTACGGGGGTGGTGGGGGCAGGGTGGAGGGGGGGGGGTCGGGGGGGGTGAGCGTTTCGGCGGGTTCTGCGTGGGGGGCGGGCACTGCAGTGGTGGGGGGGGGGTGGAGGAGCCGGGGGGGGGGTCGGGGGGCGAGCGGGTTGGGGGAGGGCGTGGGGGGTCGTGTGGGGGCAGATGGCGGCGGAAACGGGGGAGGTACGGAGGGCCGGGTGGACGGGGGGGGAGTGGGTGGCGGGCGGGGCCGGCGGGTGGGCGGGGGACGGGTGTGGCCGGCGAAGAGTAGGATACGTCAGGGTCAGGGGGAGGGGGGAAGGGGGGGCGGAGGCAGGGGGCGGGCCGGGGGGGGGGTCGGGGGGTGAATAGGAGGGGGGGGGGCAGTGCGTGGGGGGTGGGGGGGGGGGGGGGGGAGGGGGGGGGGGTGAGGGGGGGGGATGGGGGGGGGGGTGGGCGGTGCGTTGGGTGGGGGGTGGGCGACGGGGGGGGGGGGGGGCTAGGGGTAGGGTTGGGGGGGACGGACACGGGGTGGGGGTGGTAGGGAGTTGAGGTGACGGGGGAGAGCAGGTGGGAAAGACGGGAAGGGGGCGGAGACGGGACGCGTGCGAATTCGGACGGGAAGGGGTGCGGTGGGGGGGGATGGGGCGGTTCGGGAGGGAGTCGGGGGGGGGCAGATGGGGGAGGTGGGCGCGGGGGGGGGGAGCGGGGTGGAGGGGGTCGAAACCTCATGATGGGAGGGCGGGTGGGTATAGGAGGAGGGAGTCTGGGGTGCGGGGGCGGAGGGGGATGGGGGGAGGAAAGAGGGGGGGGAGGGGTCACGACTCAACAATCAGGAGAGTATGACGCTCATCACATATGAGGGGCGAGTTGGGTGGGGGGTGCCGAGGGGGCTGGGGCCTGGGGGTGTGGGGGGGGCACAGGAGGGGGGGCATGTGGAGGGGGGCTGGGCGGTAGACGTGGGGAGAGTGGGAGCGTGGTAGGGAGGGGGGGGGCGAGCTGGGAGAGGGGGAGCTGGGTCGTGGGTGGGGCGATGTCGGAAGGCGAAGGGGGGCTGGGTATAACGGGGCAGTGGGGGGAAGGGGGAAGGGGGGGCGAATGGGGGCTGACGTGGGGTGGCGGTGGGGGGGGGGGGTCGAGGAGTGTTTGGGGGGGTGGGCCAGAGATGGAGGGGGGGCGGGGAGGGGGGCTGGATTCTGGGGGGTGGGGGGGGGGGATGAGGGGAGGAAGGGATGGGGGGGGGAGGGGGCGGGGGGGGGCGAAGGGTGCCGGGGGTGGGGGGGGAGGGAGGGGTAGGGAGGGGGGCGGGGGGCGTCGGCGGGGGGGAGCTCGGGGAGGTGGGTCGGGGGGGGGGTTGGGGTTGGGGGGGGGGCGGGAAAGTTGAGGGGGGGGGACAGAGGCGGGTAGGGTGGCGGTCGGCAGGGGGACTGTGCCGTGGCTGGAGGGGGAGCAGGGAGAGGGGGGACGGGGACGGGGGGGTCGGGGTGGGGAGAAGGGTGGGGGGGGGGGGGGGCGGGGGGGGCCAAGTGGAGGCGGGAGGGGGCGGCGAGGGGGATAGGGGTGGGGGGGGGGCGGGGGTGGGGGGGCAGGTGAGGGCAGGGAGAGGGATGAGGGTGGGGGAGGGGTGGGGAAAGGCGGGGCGCGTGAGTAACGGGGGGTGGTGGGAGGAGGGGGGGGGAAAGGTGGGTAGCGTATTGGGGGGAGGACCGCGGAGGACGGGAGGCGGCAGGTAGCGGACTGGGTTGGGTGGAGGGTAGGGGGGGGGGGGGCGGGCAGGGGGTGGGGGGGTGGGGGCCAGCGGGGGGCCGGGGGGGCGGGAGCTTGGCTAGGGGGGTGGTAGACGTTGAAGAGGGGGGCGGGGAGGGAGGGCTGAGGGGGGGGGGGGTGGAGGGGCGCAGAGGGCGGATAGTGGGGGGGCGGACAGGGTTGGGGGGGGAGGGGGGCTGAGGGTCAGGGGGAGGGGAGGGAGGGGGGGCAGGGTGAGGGGGAGGGGGGTGGAGGGTGAAGGGGGTGGGCCGGAGTGCGTGGGGAAGGGGGGGGGTAGGGTGCGCGGAGGAGAGGGGGGGCAGCAGGGACGTGGGGGGGGAGGGGGATCGGTGGGAAGAGCGCCAGGAGGGGGGGAGGCGGGGGAGGGGTGTTGGGGGGGGGGCGGCAGCGGGGGGGGGCGGGGGGCGGCGGAGGAGTGGGAGAGGGGGGGGGGAGCTGGTGGGGTGATAAGACGGGTGGGCGACAGGGAAGGGGACACGCGGAGGCGACTGCGGGTACGGAGGGGGGCGCGCGGGCCAGGGAGTGGGGGGCGCGGGGGGGGGGCAGGGGGGGTTAGGTGAGAGGGATAGGGTCGGGGGGGGGGGGGGGGACGACGACGGGGGCGCGGCGAGAAGGGGTGGGCAGGGCGTGGGGGGGGGACTAGGGGGGGCCTGCGGCGGGGGCGGAGGGGGGCGCGAGGGGGGGGGGGTGGGAGGGGGGAGTCGTCGGGGTAAGAGGAGTGGTGGGGGGGGACAGGGGGGGGGCGGGGGGGGGGGGGGGCGCTTGGGGGACCGGGGGGCGAGGGTGGGTCCGGTGAGGGGGGTGCTGGCGGCGAGGGTCCAGGAATGGGGAGGGAGGCGGTGGGGGGGGGGGGGGATTCGGGATCGCGGTGGGAGGGGGGGATCGGTGTCGGATCGTGGGGAGCAGGGGGGGGACGGGAGAGGAGGGGGGCAGAGGTGGATGGGGTAGGTTGGGTTGGCGGGGGGCTGGAGTGGGGGGAAGGGAGGCGGGTGCGTGTCCCCGACGTCGGGGGGCCGCGTAGAGGGTGGTGGGGGGGGGGTGGAGCGGACCGGGGGCATTGGGGGGAGGGGCTAGGGGGGGGGCTCCGATGGGGGCGTGGGGAGGGCGGGGGGCGGATGGAAGAGGGGTGTGGCGGGAGGTGGGGGGGGAGTGGTGGGAGGTCGGGACGGGGGGGGTAGGGGGGGGGGGTGAAGGGGAGGCGGGGGGGGGCCCGGAAGGACCGCGGGGCGGAGCGTGAGGAGGGGGGGAGGGGGGGCCACTTAGATGAGCGGCGGGGGGGCGGCGTACGGGGCGGTCGGAGGAGGGGGGGATAGGCCCGGAGGGAATGAGGGCGGCGCAGGGGGGCGGGCAACAGCGGGCGCGGATATGGCACGTGGGTCGGCCTGGGGGGGGGGCTGGGGGCGGTGGCTGGGGCGGGAGTGGGCAGGGGGGGGAGTCTGGTGGGGTGGGGGGGGTGAGGGGGGGTGGTATAGATGGGGGGGGGGGATGGGACGGGGGGATGGGTAGGTCCGGGGGCATGGGGGCGGGGCGGGGGGGGGGCGGGGGGTGAGGCATCCCGTGGGGGGGGGTGAGGGTCGCGATGGGGTTGGGGGGGCCAAGGTAGGGGGGCGGGGGGGACAAGTCTGGCGGGCGGGGGAGTTGGGGGCTAACGACAGGGGATTTGTTTGGGGGGGGGGGCGACGGAGGGGGGTGCGGCGGACGCGCTGAGCACCCCCAGGGGGTGAGGCGCGGGGGGGATACGATAGGGGGTGGGTGGCGGAAAGAGGAAGGGAACAAGGGAGGAAGATTGGGCAGGGGGGGGGGACACTGGGGGGACGAGGGGACGCAAGACTGGGGAGAAGTGTAGTGGGGGTATGGTCACGGCGGGAGGGGAGGCGAGTGGCAGGAGGGGGAGGGGGTGTATGGATCGGCGGTAGGGGGGGAGGGTGGGGGGGGGAGCGGGGAGTGGGGGATGCCCCGGATGGGGCCGCGGGCGGAGGGCGGGCAGGGGCGGGTCGGGTGGGGGCCGACGGGCGAGGGGAGGGAGAGGGGGCGACCGGGGCATGAGCGACCGGGGGCAGGGGGGGTTGGGGAGGGGGGGGGGGGGTGGTGGCGGGGGGGGTGGGTGGTGGGCAGGGGGGGGGGAATCGGGCCGGCGAGGGTGACTTATACGCAGATGGGGCTGGGGGCGGGCCGGAGGGGGGCGAGGGGACGAGGGTGGTAGTTGGGGGTATGGGGGGGGGTCAGAGGCAGGGGGTCGGCGGGACGAGCGGGGTACTATGGGAGGGGGGCAAGAGGCGGTGGAGTGGGGGGGGGTTGTCTGGTGGCAGGGGGGGGGGGGGGCGGGGGATGGAGGGGGGGGGGGAGGGCTCGGAGGGGAGGGGGAGAACGCAGACGGGGGGCGGCAGTAGGGGGGTAGGGCGTGGGGAAAGTGGAAGGGGGGGCTGGGGGGGGGAAGTGGGGCGGGGGGAGTGGGGAGGGGGGCGCGGAGGTCAGGGGGGGGAGTAGGCTGGTGGGTCGGTTGGGGGGGCGAGGATGGGGACGGGAGAGGTAGGCGGGGTACAGAGGGGGGGGTGGTGGGGGGATGGGGCTGCGGGTAGGGGGGGGAGGAGCGGGTCGGGGGGGGGGCGGGGGGGGCGGGGTGAGGGGGGGGCGGGGGGGGGGGGGGGGGGAGAGGGATACGGGTGGGGAGAAGGCAAGGGGGGGGGGGAAATGGGGGGGGCGGGAGTGGCGGAGGAAAGGGGGGGAGCGGGGGGGGAGTGCGAGGGCAGTGAGGGGCGAAAGGGGGGGAGGGGGGGGGGGGGGGGGGTAGCGGTGGGGGAAAGGGGAGCGGGAGTGGGGTTGGGAGCACGCAGCGAGGGGGGTTAGAAGGGGGAGGGTGGGTGGGACGGCGAGGGGGGGGGGAAAGGAGGTGGGTGTGGAGGGGGGGGCGCGGAAGGGGTGGGTCGGGGAGGGGGGCAGCGGGGGACCAGAGGGGGGAAGGGGGGTGGGCGGGGGATGGGGGGGAGGGCATGGGTAGCCGTAGGACCGGCGAATGGGGGGACGAGGCGGGTGGGAGGTAAGGGTGTGGCGGGGTAGGGTGGTGACCGGGGACGGGTGGGGGGGGGCGGGGACGCGGGGGGGGGGGGTGGGGGCGGGCGGGGAGGGGAGGGCGTGGGGGATGGGGGGGGGGAATATAGGCGGGGTCAGCTGGGGTGGGGAGAGCACCGGGAGAGGGGGGGGTGCGAGGCTGCGGGGGGATGTGGGGCAGCGGAGGCGCCGGTGTGTGGGAGTGCGGGGGGGCGGAGGGGTGCCGACGAGCAGTGCGGTGGGGGGGGGACAGCGGGCAGAGGTGGCTGGGGGTGGGAGCGGGGGGGGGGGGGATAGCAGCGCGAAGAAAGGGGGGGGTGGCGGGGGGAGGACGTGGAAGGGGGGGGGGGGTGGAGGGGGGGCAGGGGGAGGGGGCAGGGGCTGGGGGGCGGGGGGGGGGCTGGGAGAGGCGGGATGGCGGGAGGGGGGTGGGAGGGGGGGGGACGGGGATGCAGCGAGGCGACCGTAGAGGCGGCGGGGCTGGGGGGGACATGTGAGCGACGGTGGGGGGTGCGGTGGGGGGGGTGGGGGCATGGGGACGGGGGGGGAGGGTGGGGGCAGGTTGGGCGGACCCGAGCGGGGCGGTCACCTAAACGGCGGTTCCGGTGGTGCGTGGTGGGCAACGGCGGGGGGGGCGGTGGTTGGGGCGGGGGGTGCGGGGGGGGGAGCTTTGCTCGGGTTGGATGGGAGAAGGACCTGTGTAGGTGAGGATGGCGTGGTGCGGGTGGCTGGTGTGGGTGTTGTGCAGCTGGGTGGGTGGTGGGTTGTGGGTGGGTAGCTGGTGTAGTGTGGGTGTCGTGCGTTGCGAACCTTGTGTGAGTTGTGCGGTGGGTGGTGGTGCGGTGGGTGAGGTGGTTGGGGTAGGGGGATGGGGTAAGGGGTGTGGGGGGATCGATGAGCGGGAGGGGACCTGCCGGAAGGAGGGGAGGTTGGGTTCCGTGGGGGAGCCAGGCCAGGGTCGTGGGGGGGGGGATGGGAGGGCGGGAGGGAGTGTGGAACGGACTGGAGCGGGGGGGGGCGGGAGGATGGAGGGGGGGGGTGCGACGGTCGGGGGGGGAGGCGGTCAGGGGACCGGAGAGCCAGGAGGAGCGGGCACGCGGGGAGTGGAGAAGAAGCGGGGGGGAAGGGTGCTGGTGTGTGGTGCGTGGGCCCGGGGTCGGTGGGGAGGGGGGCGCGGTGGTCGGAAGCCGGGCTGAGCAGGCGGAGGGGTGGGGGGCTGAGGGGCGGGGGGACTACGGAAGGGGAGTGGTGGGCGGGGCGGTGGGTGAAAGAGTGTGGTGGCGCGGGGGAGGCGGGGGGCGGGGGCCCAGCGGGGGGCGTGATGGGGGGCTAGGCTGTGGGGCGATGGGTGGGGTGTGGAGGGGGGGGGGGGGAGATCTAGTGCGGGGTAGTCGCTACGGCGGGAGTGGATCGGACGGGCTGGGGGCGTCGGGTCTGGGGACTGTGGGAGTTGGGGGGGGGGGGGGGGGATGGTTAGGCTTGTGGGATCGGCGGGGGTGGGCTGGGGGTAGGCGGAGCGTAGGGCCGAAGCGGAGTGGGGGGCGGGGGGGTTGCGGGGGGGGGCGGGGGGGGGTGGTGGGGCGGGGGCGGGGGGTGCGGACATGATTGGGGGCAGGAGGGGCGCGTGGTACGGGGGGGGCGGCGCGCTGGGGGAGGGGGTCGGCGGGGGGGAGGGGGGAGGGGGCGTGGAGGGCGGGCAGGCTGGGCCATAGGGGGGGAGTCGAGCGTCGGCTCGGGTAGAGCTGTGGGGCGGCAACAGGGTGGTGGTATACGAAGGGGGGAGGAAGCGGGCGGGGCGGGGGGTGGGGCGAGGTGGTGGTGGGGGGGGAGCGTGGGTTCGGAGGGGGGGTGTGTGTTGTGTCGGTTCGAATGCCCTTTCTTTTGACTTACCTCTTTTTCATTTTTTTTTTTGCTCCCTCTGTTCTTTTTTATTACTTTTTTTTTTTTTTTTTTCCTTTTCTTCCGAGGCGAATCGCTTGAAACGCCGGGAGAGCTTTGGTGGAGTTTGGTCTTTTTTTTTTTTTTTGCTTTCCAAACCGACTGTATGCCTACTTTTTGCTGTTTCATTTTTCCATTTTGCAGTGAAATTTATGGGCGCTTCCTGTTTTGTTCAGAGGGGGGAGCCAATAATAATATTTTTTTCTTGTCTTTGACCTTGAGGAAACATGTCGTACAAATTTCATGGCTCTTTCGACAAACTTGACCTCAGGAAGACAAGTCCATAGGGGTATTATTTTGGCTGTTGTAGGTGGCGCTGTTCTGTCATTTTTTGAGTCCCATAAAAATAACCACCCAAAATATCAAATTTTCGCCAGGTTGATTAATTTTTGGGCCCCTAATTTAACCAACATTTCTGCATGTTTCAGGGGGTCAAATTAAGGCTCAAGTGCAGACGAAAAACGACAGAAAGAATGAACTAAAATTACAGCCGCAAGGCGGGGGGCGGGGTTCGACGGCCCTCGCCGCACCGCGGCGACTCCCCGCACCTGCGCGCACCACCCCGTTCCACGGCGCCCGGCACCAAGCCCCCCGCACCAAGCCACCCGCACCACGCCGCCCTGGGCACCACGATGGTCTGCTCACGCCGCCCCGCACCTAGCCGCAATGCGCCCGCTCACAACGCCGCACTACGCCGCACCACCACCGTACCACGCCATAGCACCGCTTCAAAGGAGATTGGTTGGGCGTCCCGTTGGTGTGATTTGTTTCCGTAGCCATAGAAGATTGTTAGTCAAATTGGTTAATGAATATGATAAAGTAGAAGCTGGTTTGGCTCCCATGTAAACCTTTGACTCAGTCTTTAGGGGGGCGCTTATTGGCCCCTTTCAAATATTTCACTTTACCTGGACCTAACACCCTGGGCGTTGAACCAATGGATTCAGTTTAGATGCAATCAGAACTGTGTTCGTGCAAACGGGGAAAAAATGTATGTGTCAAACTACGGCCAAATAAAACCCTCCACCTTTTGCCGCTCCGCTGCTCAAACAACGTTCTCTGTCAAAATCCTGACTGTAAGTCATTTTGAAGGGTTAAACGTGTTGAGATTGATTTGGAACACATTGAGGCCAATCGGTGAAACGGGTCGAGGAGGAGTGCTTTCAAACGACGTGTATGAGAATGAGTGGGTTATTTTTCCATTAATGCAGATGAAATTTAATGGGCTTACTGTTGTCGGAGGGTATTAGCCATAATTACATTTTTTCCATGTCTTGACTTGAGGAAACATTGTTTACAAATTGCATGGTTCTACACCAATTTTGACTGAAACCACTCCATAGGCACATTTTTAAATTGGCCGCTGTTGTGGTGGGCGCTTTGGACAAAATTTAAACTTTTGAATCCATGGTTCAACTCTTGGGTCTAGGTCATTTGAAAGTTTAAATTTTGAAATTAGCTCTATAGCGCCACCTACAACAGCCAATTTAAAAATGCCTATGGGAGGGTTTCGAGGTCAAAATTGTTGTAGAACCATGCAATTTGGTATACATGTTCCTCAAGTCAAGACATGGAAAAAATGTAATTATGGCTAATCCCTCCGACAAACAGGAAGCCCATAAATTTCACTGCAAAATGGAAAAATGAAAACCAATCATTCTCATACACGTCGGTTGGAAAGCAACTCCTCCTCGGCCGTTTCACCGATTGGCCTCAAATGTGTTCCAAATCATCTCAACACGTTTACCTTCAAAATGACTTCAGGGATTTTTGATCAGTGAAACGTTGTTTGAGCAGCGGAGCGGCAAAATGTGAGGGTTTTTTTGGCCGTTTTTGACAACATACATTTTTTCCCCGTTTGCACGAACAAAGTCTGATTTGCATTAAACTTGAATCCATTGTTCAACTCCAGGGTTTAGGTCAGGTGAAAGTGAAATATTTGAAATTGGCCAATTAGCGCCCCTAAAGACTGAGTCAAAGTTTACATGGGGAGCCAAACCAGCTCTACTTATCATATTCATTACAATTTGACTAACAATCTTCTATGGCTACGGAAACAAATCATCACACAACGGCGCCACCTCCTTTGAGCGGTGCTGCGTGGTACGGTGTGGTGCGGCGTAGTGCGGGGCGTTGTGGAGCGGCGCATTGCGGCTTGGTGCGGGGCGGCGTGAGGCAGGACAGCGTGGTGCAGGGCGGCGTGGTGCGGGGTGGCTTGGTGCGGGGTGGCTTGGTGCGGGGCGGCGTGGAACGGGGTGGTGCGCGCAGTGCGGGGAGTCGCGCGGTGCGGCGAGGGCCGTTCGACGCCGCTTGCGGCTTTAATTTATTTCTTTCTTTCTTTCTTTTTTCTTCTGCACTTTGAGCCTTAATTTGACCCCCTGAACATGCATGAAAAGTTGTTAATTTTGGCCCAAAAATCAGACCTGGCGAAAAATTTGATATTTTGGTGTTTATTTTTATGGGGACTCAAAAAATGACAGAACAGCGCCACCTACAACAGCCAAAATAATACCCCTATGGGACTTTTCTGAGGTCAAGTTTGTCGTAGAGCCATGAAATTTGGTACACATGTTCCTCAAGTCAAGACAAGAAAAAAATATTATTATGGCTCCGCCCTCTGACAAACAGGAAGCCCATAAATTTCACTGCAAAATGGAAAATGAACAGCAAAAGTATTCATACATGTCGGTTGGAAAGCGACTCCTCCTCGGCCGTTTCACCGATTCGCCTCAAAATCGCTCCACATCATCTCAACACATGTACCTTCAAAATGACCTCAGGGATTTTTTGATCAGTGAAACATTGTTTGAGCAGCGGAGCGGCAAAATGTGACCTTTTTTGGCCGTTTTTGACAACATTAAATTTGCTCCCGTTTGCACAAACAAAGTCTGATTTGCAAAAACATTAATACATTGTTCAACTCTAGGGTCTAGGTCGTTTTAAAGTGAATTAATTCAAATTGACACATTAGCGCCCCCTACAGACTATTTCAAAGTTTTAGATGGGCATTTTCAAATTTAGTTTTTTCAAAATGTTTGAAATTTTGCACATAAATCTGTTTTGCCCTCTTGATTCAAAAAGTCAATTGGGTCCAAGGTTTATTTTTTACCCTGTTGCCGTGGCGACGAGAAACGCTCCCCATTCATTGCAAATGTACACCTCACACAAACATCAAACCAGCCTCGGCTGTTTCACCGATTCGCCTCAAAATCGCTCCACATCATCTCAACACATGTACCTTCAAAATGACTTCAGGGAATTTTGATCCGTGAAACGCTGTTTGAGCAGCGGAGCGGCAAAATGTAAGGGTTTTTTTGGCTCTTTTTGACAACATTAATTTTGCTCCTGTTTGCACAAACAAAGTCTGATTTGCACAAAACTTTCATCCATTGTTCAATTCCAGGGTTTAGGTCAGGTTAAAGTGAAATATTGGAAATCGGCCCCTTAGCGCCCCCTACAGACTGTGTCAAAGTTTACATGGGGAGCCAAACCAGCTCTACTTATCATATTCATTACAATTTGACTAACATTCTTCTATGGCTACGGAAACAAATCATCACACGGCGGTGCTACCTCCTTTTAGCGGTGCTGCGTGGTACGGTGTGGTGCGGCGTAGTGCGGGGCGTTGTGGAGCGGCGCGTTGCGGCTTGGTGCGGGGCGGCGTGGTGCGGGGAGTGCGCGCGGTGCAGGGAGTTGCGCGGTGCGGCGAGGGCCGTTCGACGCCGCTTGCGGCTTTAATTTATTTCTTTCTTTCTTTCTTTTTTCTTCTGCACTTTGAGCCTTAATTTGACCCCCTGAACATGCATGAAAAGTTGTTAAATTTTGCCCAAAAATCAGACCTGGCGAAAAATTTGATATTTTGGTGTTTATTTTTATGGGACTCAAAAAATGCCAGAACAGCGCCACCTACAACAGCCAAAATAATACCCCTATGGGAGTTCTGAAGATCAAGTTTGTTGTAGAGTCATGAAATTCGGTACACATGTTCCTCAAGTCAAGACAAGAAAAAAATATTATTATGGCTCCGCCCTCTGACAAACAGGAAGCCCATAAATTTCACTGCAAAATGGAAAAATGAACAGCAAAAGTATTCATACATGTTGGTTGGAAAGCGACTCCTCCTCGGCCGTTTCACCGATTCGCCTCAAAATCGCCCCACATCATCTCAACACATGTACCTTCAAAATGACCTCAGGGATTTTGGATCAGTGAAACATTGTTTGAGCAGCGGAGCGGCAAAATGTGACCTTTTTTTGGCCGTTTTTGACAACATTAAATTTGCTCCCGTTTGCACAAACAAAGTCTGATTTTCACAAAACTTTAATACATTGTTGAACTCTAGGGTCTAGGTCATTTGAAAGTTAAATGATTCAAATTGACACATTAGCGCCCCCTACAGACTATTTCAAAATTTTAAATGGGCATTTTCAAATTTAGTTTTTTCAAAATGTTTGAAATTTTGCACATACATCTGTTTTGCCCTCTTGATTCAAAAAGTCAATTGGGTCCAAGGCTTATTTTTAACCCTGTTGCCGTGGCGACGACAAACGCTCCCCATTCATTGCAAATGTACACCTCACACAAACATCAAACCAGCCTCGGCCGTTTCACCGATTCGCCTGAAAATCGCTCCACATCATCTCAACATATGTTCCATCAAAAAGACTTCA